TACCAATCAGGTTTTAGGAACAATTTTTCAACAGATACTTGTTTAATAGATATGTTAGAATTTATAAAAAGTAATACATCAAAATTGCTTTTAACAGGTATGATAATGTTGGATTTACAAAAGGCTTTTGACACTGTTGACCATACAATTCTATGTGATAAGTTATTAGTTTTAGGAGTTTTATCCACTGAGTAGTTCAAATCTTATCTGTCTTGTAGACAACAACACGTTCATGTCAACAATACTTCATCAGACTTCAATTTTATTAATTGTGATGCTCCTCAACGCAGTATCTTAGGACCTCTTTTATTTTTAATATATGTCAACAATATGGCTGTCAGTATTAATGATGACTGTAAATTAATTCTATATGCTGATGACAGAGCTTTTCTATGCACACAGAGATCCTGCTATTATTGCTCAAAAACTGGGCATTGTTCTTGACAAATGTTCTTCATGGTTAGTTGACAATAGATCGTCTCTCCATTTAGGTAATACAGAATCTATTTTATTTGGTCCACTAAGAAAACTTAAAGGTATCACAGATTTTAAAATTTTGTGTAATGGTCACATTATTACAGGTTCTGAAAGTGTTAAATATTTAGGAATCTGTATTGACAAACTTCTTTCATGTGACAATATTGTTTTAAGTATCATGCGAAAAGTCAATGCTAGGCTCAAGTTTTACAGTGGAGCCTCATTTAACGGACGCTTTGCAAATTGGTTCCTAGTCAATTTGTCCGGATATGTGAAGCATCCGGATGCCTGAATCACCTGTAAAATAAGACAAATTAACATTTAAAAAATATGTTCCCATGGAAAATCGTCCGGATAGTAAAGAATCCAGACGTCAGGATATCTGAAGGTCCACTGTATATAGTGCATCTTGTCTTAGTACACAATCAAGAAGGACCCTATGTTCTGCCTTGAAACAATGTTATTTTGACTATGCCTGTTCTTCTTGGTATTGTGGAATAAACAAGCAACTTAAACACAGATTACAAGTTACCAAGATAAAAGTAGTACGGTTCATTTTAAACCTTGATCCCAGAGTATTTCCAATAAGATTTTAAACTCTCTAAATATTGTCAGTCAGATTGGGGGATAGAGCTTAACAATTAAGATTAAATCATGTTTAAATATATATCATGGTAAGGCACCAGCTTCTCTCCATGATCACTTTGTATTAAATAATAATATTACAAGAAGTGTAACAAATAACAATAAGAATTTTATTATACTAGATATAAACGGGAAAGAGTCTTCATGTTTTTTTTTCTATAATGCTATAAAAGATTGGAATACTTTGCCACTTGAGATCAAAGATGTGAAAACTAAACAAAGTTTTAAGAAAGCTGTTTTTTTTATCAACAAATACTAGTGCTGCTACATAAAAAGCTTGTCTAATTGTATTGTTTATTTATCAAATTTAGTATTATAAGCATTTTGTGATAATTATAACGATAAAATGTGCATGTCATTTTTCCAAGGATTATGTTATACTCATAAAAGTACCTGCCTGAATTCCAATGTTTATGTCATTTTTGTTATTTTAAGGCCCCATTTAAACAAGTTTTTTAACCTTTTAAGGTTTTTGTCGGCTATCCTTAGGTACTATTTATCATCTGTATGTCATGCAACTTATTTGATAATAATTACATATGTTTTAATTAGATCTTCTTTTAGTAGCATAGTGCTGAGATAATGTATGTTTGTTCTATAAGTAGGCTAATCTGTAATGTTTTAAATGTGAATCATGACACTCTGTGATATTTTTACATGAATAAAATGAAATGAAATATAACACAGACAGGGTGTCAAGATATTAAAGCATGCGTTTTCGTTTGACGTCAAACATGTAAGTGTTGAACCTTGAGGAAGTGCAACGTCACAAGAGAACATAAAAAAAATCACACCAGAAATTGTTACATTGCTTCTTCCTTAACTGTAGCTTACACGAAGGATAATAAATTGGGTTTTAAGTGGAAATCACATTTGCAGTTAAGGTAGAAAGTTAAAGATGCAAATATAAGCAACGAGTTACTCAATTTGTTTGCACAACAGTTGCAGATATGAGACTATTTCTTTAAAGTAAAAAATGATTCATTGCTTAAATGTAATTGAAAAAATCTTTAAAACCGTTCTTGGTTACAACCGAATTTGACCTTTTGACCTTGGAGTTTGACCTCCTTTTGACAAAAAATCCAAAATTTTACTTTGGCCATATCTTTTGAACAGTAGATACTAGGAATTTTATATATCATATATGTAATTTTTGTGGAAATTGGATACAAACAACTTTGACCTTTTGAAATTGACTTTTGAGATTTCTGTACTAAGGGAAAAATTTAACCTTTGGCAAAACTTATTATTATTAGATTTCAAGGACTTTAACTCTTTTACCTTGACGTACTCTCAAAATGAAAATCATGATCATAACTTTTAAAGGGTTATTGTTTCATACTTTTCAAATTTAAACTTTGTGACGAAACATTTTGATTGTCATCTAGAACTTTGACCCTTTGACCGAGGTATTGGAGAATTTGACCCACTTTTAATCAATCTAACCTTTACCGTAGCTTTTAAAGAGTATTAGACTTGGGCTTCCATACTTCACATATGAATTTCTTGAAGCAAGACCCTTCATTTGAGACCAACTACCTTCACATTTTGACCTTGATCTTGGAGATTTTCGTACATATGTAAAAAAAAATAGATAACCTAGGCCATTGCTTTTGAACGCTAAGGGCTACTGCTCTTACACTCAATATATGATATTCTTGTGTGAGGATCCTTCATCGGATACCAAGAATTCACCCTCTGACATTTTACCTTTGGGGTTTTGTTGATTTTTAAAAAATGAAAATAACTTTTGAAGGGATAGGTCTAGTGCTTTTCATATTTAATCCTTGTTACAAATCCTTTCATTTCGTATCAAAAATGATCTTGATCCTGGCATTTGATATTCTTTAAGAATTTTAAACCTAAACCATAATTGTTAAAGGGTTAGGACAAGGGCTTCCGCACTTCACTTCGGTATTCTTTGTGCCAAGACCTTTCATTTGATGCCTAGCTAATACCTTGACCTTTCATGTTGACCTAGGAGATTTCCGAACTTAAGAATAAAAGTTTAATCCTGGCTTACCTTCATATTTCACACTTGTATTTCCAATGAGTATACCCTACCTTAAGTAACAATCTTTTATATTTGTTTCAAAGAAAAGTTTAATCTTCGCGGTCGTTATGTTGCCATACGAGGGCATCAGTGTTTTATAGACACTTCTTTTTTTTAAAATCTATTTTAGAAATTGATATGAAAATTATCTTAAAATTAGGTAACATCTTCTTTAAGTTTGATCGACTTGCTTCATTACATTCTGCTTCCAATTTTATTGAGCGGATATATCTAATTTTCTTTGTACGATGGGTACAAAAATTAACATGAATATATAAGCAGTTTGATTAATTGATTGATCGTATATTGTTTAAGGCCCCTCTAGAGAATATTTCACTAATTTGGATACGTCACCGTATGCGGTGGAAGGGCTTCAAATTTTGACCTTTACTCAGCATTCAGCGCCATTGAGCTGTGAGGGATCTTTATCGTACGCAGCTAGAATTGGGCAATCCGAAAATGTCAAACTTTTCAGTAGTACTTCTCTTAACTACCTAGATATGACGTCATAATAGAATATGACGTCAAGTCATTGCATACTTAAGCTAACATGACGGGGAAAGTGACATAATTTATACATCGCATTTAAATTAATTTTGGGTCCTTGTTGTTTAATTCAGGTGTTAGGATTGTTTTTAAGCTCCAATATGCTGTTATGAAGTTGAACATTTCAAATTTAAATATCCGATTTCCTTTCGCTTGTCCGATAGGTACATTTACAAACAATAGAGAAAAAAAATTATACGTAAAACACTCCCTTTACACGGAAGACAGAGTTGGAACATTCGTGTTGATATTGGACTGGAACAAGTGATAAACAAGCATAGATTGAAGATATTCTGTGTGAATCTATAAGGGAAGTATGTCATCTAACTGAATTTTGCTGGGGGTTGTGTGTAGTTCATCTATTTTTGTACAAATAGCGATAAAGAGTTGAAAATACCCCTTTTTATGTTGCTAAATTGAATTTTTCGTAAAAATATTTTCTTAACAAGAAAAATTAAACCTGTCCCCAGGACTTTATATGTACCAGAGATCGCGATGAAATGATCTATGTAACAAACTTTGCACAATATTTTTGTTTTGCACTTGTGCCGAAGCGGTTTTTGTACAACATTAAAGAATATCATACATGTCCGTCACGTGTTCAACACAGTTATTTGACGTTACAAAAATGCTTTATTTTAATACCTCGATTTTATCGACTAGGTCAGTTGCGACCGAGAAACGAACTCTCGACCTCCTGATCACGGAGCGAGCGCTCTACCGACTGAGCTACCGTGAACAGTATTTAAGCAGTTTGAAAGCATCGAACTGTTTCAGTACTCAGATGATATTATTTCTATTGATTCCTTCTCGAAAACTGTAATTATTATTGTTTAAATTGCTAATTATTTACCTTCATCGAATAAAATGGAACGTTTATTTAAATAACAGTCTGAGAGATTTTTTTCTCGTCAAAGACCTAGATTGGTTTAGTATCTTTTATTTAGTGCAACGCAATTTTCTTAATGTACAATTTAAATAAAGATGTTTGAAAAATTGCCATTTGAAAGACCTGTTGGCAGAAAAGACCTAAATTTTAAAACGCACATACGATTATGTAATCCTTTATTACGTTGTATAAAGTCCTTTGAGTATTGCACATGTCCCCCTTCTATTTTTTTTATTAATTAGCTGTTATTTCGGGTAATTTTCTTTTTGTTGGAATTTTAAAATTTATCATGGCAGGTACAAACAAAATATCTAAATAATAATGTGCATCAACTTCTTATAGTTTATACTCCTTCACGTATAAAAAAAGAAAAAATATAAGGTATGACAAAATTATTGTATTCATTGCTTGATTAGAAGCTTCAATAATTTTCGTTTAAAACAAAATATGCCCAGAAAAGTAATTCCAACCACCAAGTACACCTCTTGCGTAACTACTATAAGGTTTTATCCAGACTCTTTGTTTCGCCTTCATCTCTACAATAGCTGAAGAAGAACATTGACCATGTTCAGTGTTTGTTATTTCTGCACAGTAATTAGAGCTCATTTGGATGTTTTCCTTTACAAGGAGAGTAATGAAATATTGTTTCACATTTGCCAATGTTGTCCATTCAAAGTGGTAAATTCCATCGACTGGCGCTGTGAATACACCAGTTTTTGCATCGTAGCCACGGCCAATGTTAAGTAATACAGATTCAAATATAACTTTCTGGTGACTTTTCAAATTAGAATGCGAAGTTTTCATCATTGCATGGAAAGCCACTGCCATTTTCTCTTTCTTTGAACCTGCCGAAAAAGAAGAAAAAAGCGCAAGTTAAGGAACATATAAGGATCTTACTGTAACTTAGCAAACATGTAATTATGTCTTTGCTTTATTCTCTTGTCTGCTATGCACGACAGTATTATTGAATCATTTGGCCCGAGGTCTCTTTGTGATTCCGCATCTACCATAACCTATTCTTGAGAGCTCTGATAATTTGGTATTTTAAATCAGGTATTACTAAGAACAACCAACGTCATGTCCATTGAGTCTACCTTTCCTTCACAAACGTAATCATAGCTTTGATAACCAGGTATAATTTTACCCCTGTGAAGGAAGTTCGTGCAGCTTAGTACATGTGTTGATTGCAATTAAATATTAAAACTAATACAAGAGTTACAGTCCACTTCATCTAACTATCTCCTTAAAACTATAAATTGTAAATTTAACTTGAATTTGCATTTAAGGAGATGAAAAGTATTTAAATATCCTACATACAAACAATACGTTGCTTCCCCTTTAGATTCTCCTTAAAAGACAAAAATAAATTAACACAGCTTGTAAATAAAAGTTCTATCTGGAGAAGATCTTTGATTTTGTGTTCTGATGTAAAACGTTTTTCCCTAAAAATATTTGTTTTATTTGATCATGACTTAAACATTTAATCCATATTGCTCCCAATCCTACCCCGTGCGAAGTAAACCGGTGCAGATATAAAACAATAATTTATTTGGAATGCCCATTTAAAAAGTTCGTCTCAAGAAGATGAATTTTTTTTACTGATAAGTCCATATAATCCTTTTGGCTATTACGTTAAAATTCCTCAGTTAGAATTTAGATATGTAGTAAAGGATATGGCTTACGATATGAACATGATTTTTTCTCGTATCCAACAGCTGAGCATGCTTCTTTGTAGGACGAAATACTATTAATGAGCTCCTTTGGATCAAGAATCTTACAGTTGACCGGCTGTATTAAAATTCCAAAAAGCAAAACCAACGTACACAGCATATTTATGATATTTTTTTAATCTGTAATAGAAAAAAATTAAAAATTAGGTAAAAAAAAACCAAGAACAATATCTTTGCTTTTATCAACAATAACAACAAAGGAAAACGACCGAGTCTTACCTGTTTGAAGTGTAACACAAAGTTGAAATGATGCTTTTATCTATTTACAGTTTATATACTTTTAGACGAAAAGTTTTAATCTGTGAAAGCTTGTCATTAAAATGTTATATAATACTTCATGTTCGATTGATACTTCCAACTGTTGCATTTTTGAATTTAGAGTTACTTTTCATTCATTTTTGAGATTGTGTGTACAAAAACGCCTAAGTAATTTAGAGGTTTGTTCAACTTGATGTTTGTTGTACAATACTATTTAACTGTTTACTGTTGTATGATTTAAAAAAATTAGTTGATATATGTTTAAATATTCATATACTCGTATATTGACTCAAAGATAAACATTTTACCAAGAGTATTATTTTGACGTAATTTAAATTTTGTTACTTGGAAAGCAGAAGTTTCATTGAAAAGAAATATTAAATTTCCGCACATTTATATGAACATGTATTTCTTTTCATTGAAAATTATCATCGGCATCAGAAATACAGACTTTGGATCACTGGTTTATCTGGTTAAGAATATCCACACTTGTTGAAGTTGCCAAACATTCATAGAAAAATCATGGAGTGAAAAAAGTGTCTAAATCAAGAAAAAAAAATTAAAGTCTGTTATTGCATTCAGATATGATTTACAGCGTGTAACAATGTGAACTGTCCAAAAATATGTGCATTTATGTCAATCCTGATCAGGGAAAACAATGCAACAACACGCCCAACACATCTGATTGTTCCTTAAGAAATTGTGACAAACAGAAAAAATCAAGTTATGAACTGGGAGTCACATATGTGTTTATCAGGAACGCACGCAAATTCACATTGTGTTTCAATAATCAAGTCAAATGAGACAATAAACATCTGGAACAGTTTACTTATGGTCATGACTATTTTTGATAGAAAGTCGTTTTTACAATGTAACCAAACCATCATACCGGGATTTGCATGACGTCCATTTGCAATTTATTACTAATCGAAACTTTCTTGCAATTAATATGAAATGAAGGAGGAACAGTATATTAAACACTTGTGAAATTCCAGCAATTTCAATAACTAAATAAAAGGAGATAAGGTAAAACGAATTGGCATAACTTTAAATTCAGTTTGAAGATAAACTTGTTCTAAATTAACACTAGAAAACTAAAGATTAATTAAAGGTTTATATTTAGGTAGAACATGTGTCGGTGAAGTCTTTGTCACGAGATTTTCAATAAATTAGAACTGTATGACACTTTTGCTTTTTATTAAATGCATTGTCGCATATCAAACATGGAATGTTAATTATGTACTTTAATACTTGGCTACCGAAGATGTCACTTAACGGGGAAATACGGAAATATGTGGGGCCCATTATGCTTTTTTATGGACCACTTAGCAGCACTTTTTCAAAATATCATTATAAATACAAGTGTTTAAAATACTAATTATGTTCACCCATGAGTGCCCTGCAACGTCAGATAAGGTTTATGCATTTCATCTTAATAACACTATTTGATATTGATTGAATAAGTTCGATCCGCAGCTTTTGATCATTTTTATCTCTATTTCTAAAATGTTGCGTCATAGTTCAGTCTGAAAAATAAAGAGCTTATTCCTAAATCTAGTGATATTAATTTTTTTCCTTTACATTTTGATCAGTATCCTTTCTCTCATATGGATTTTACATGCAATTTTTGGGAATGACTCTCGAATTCAATTAAAATTATCTCGATACATATACATGTATATTTTTAAATTAATAACTTGAATCGCTTTCGTGATTTGTTGCCTTGATTGTGGGTTTGGAATGTATCTAAATTTTAAGTAGGCGTCCTCTTCATAGTAAAGGGAATCCCCTTCAACTACGCAATGCATTTCATTTATTGGTTTCTAGTACCTAGCAGTGACATTATTAGTGTTGGCAACGAGTACCCGATTAACCGATTAACCGTCGAACGATGCGAGTATGGGTTAGTAAACTGCTATTCGGTTACTCGGATAAAAATACATCTAATAAATTAAATAACCAAAATTTACAATTAAAATTTGTTTATCAGCGTATACATAAGCATTTCTCTAATATTATTTATCATTGAATTTAATGATCTCGTGTTTCACTAATACGATAGATTCGTTTTAATTAGTTTTCACATTTAATTAATAGCTTTGAGTGCCAGATACCTGTAAAATGTAATTTATGTGGTTAGCGTGTGCGGTTTTCACTTCCAATTTCTAAACAGTTATTCTCCTTGATCATGACATAATTATGTCGTGAGTCGAAAAGTAAAAGATGATGAAGGGTATTCTAAAAAAGCGTGAAACATTGAATATTTTTTCTTTTGATTTAATTAATTTTTAAATTATAAATACACGTATCAAAATTCTTTAAAGATAGTGCGTGGGTAAGCATTCACAATAAACATGTATTGTTTATTGCTCTCAGTGAGTAAAGGATGTGATAAATGATGTTCATAAATAAATCATCCGAGTAACCGGGTACTCGATCTGAAGATTAAGCGAGTAACCGGTTGCTAAATATCGTCCGATTTGCAAACACAAGACATTATGTTTATACATTTTTATAAGTTGAAGGTATTCAAAACTATTATTCTTTAACTCCCTTAATTCAAATATAGAAAACTAATAATTTACATTTGTAAAGATTTATGGGTTTAAGTAACATGTGTAAATTCATAGCTTTTACTTTCAAAATTTTTATTTGCTGAACACAAAACAGACTTACAAATTATATACAGTTTCTTTACAGAACGTCAATTGGATTTTAAAACTTTTTAAAGTGTTTAATTGATGACAAGATAAAACGTATCCAACTGATTGTTCACTGTTTAGGTCATGCAATCCATTTAAATCCCCTTTTATAAGGGATTTACACACAAGTAGTGGGACTTCTTTGATATGTTAGGCCTTATTTGGTGACGCGATTTGAATTCCTTTCATTAAGTATTTTCATTGAGGTATTTCATTAACCCCTTGTATTTCTGTTGTGTATTTCAGATTAGATAGAAATTCAAAAATACTTGACCGGAAGTATATTTTTATATAATTAGCTGATTGTTGTGATATGGAATTTGTTAATATTAATTATAAAGAAAAACCACTTATGATGTAACTAAACATACAATTATGTTTCAGAGAATAAACTTTAATTGTTATTAAACTTTAAAAAAAATTATTCCTAAAGAATCAGATTTTTTTAATAAAAAGGGAAGTTTCCAGAAAAAAAGAGAGCAAAGAAAAATATCATTTTTTTAGATTAAAATTTATCTTATTACATGTAGATACAATGTGCCTTGTACTTATTTCTTATTTCTATTTTTACAAGCATCTTTATGTCACACAAATTTTCCCTTAACAAAATAACATGTAATTCTATGTTTTGTTTCAATAATATACATTTTATTTTAAATAAAACCACTATTTCAGATTTGTTCTCAAATGAGTCTGCTCATTAACAATTAATGAGTGAACAACTTTTTTGTGACAAAGGTCATTTAGTTAATTTGCCACAAATATATTTGATCAGATGATGAAATAAGTGTCAGACATTGCTTAACCAAAACTGACTTAATAAATGACAATAAATTTGGAAATTCGGTGTTAAAAATCCACTAATAAAAGAAACATGTAACAGGAGTAAAAATAAATTGTTAAACAATTACAAATTCTAAGTTTTATTCAATAATTAAATTGTATGAAAATTGTGCAATTTCTTCAAAAGCCTGGATATCTATAAATTTTTTTTTCTAAAATACACAGTAGTTTTTTTTTTATTTACACTTCTTGATTTTCTTTTTTTTTGTTTGAAATGTATAAATTTTCCTTACATTATAATTAACTTAAAAGATGAAGAATTATGGTGAGTAAAATACATTATTTGAGAATTCAGAGACTTTTTTTTACAATTAGTCAATGCCTGATTTTCACAACCTGGGGATCGGAGTACCTTGAGAAAGCATTTCTTGAAAATTAACGATGAACTTTTCGAATGCATTTAAGTACAGCTGTTTATAAGAACCAGGCAGAAATGAAAATAAGTGATTCATGATAGTGTTAGATTTTTCAAAAACCATCATATTTACATTAAGATACATCAAACTAAATACTTGATCACAGTTAAAAATGGATTTCATGCATAGTTGATTAAAAAATGAATTCAATATATCCTGAAACAGTCAACAATATCCATTGAAAGGTGTCTGTACGTGCAGGTGATTTTTTTAAAAAGGCCCGCACTCTCCTTAAATGTGAATTATGAAATATTGAACATCTAGTATCAAAGAGTAAAAAACAATTAAAAAACCCATGGGTTATTTTAATTACGAATAGATATTGTGATTTCAAATTATGTAAAAACATGAAATTCTAGTTATCTCCCTTGGCACTCTTTAGTAAAAGGAGTTGAAAAGAGTGTATTTAACTCTTCAGTTTAGAAGGGGAGGATTAAGAAATGTGTGTGATTTCATCTTCATTTTGGAAGTTTTGCCGGTTTTCATACGTCCAAGGGGCATGTAAGTCTAAAATTTTCATTAGAAAAATATAATCCGATGATAAAAAAAAATAACTGCCTGCAATTTGCTCTTTTTATCTGACAAAATCAACATTTTATTTCTTAAACATGCTATGAGTTTGAGTGTTTTGATTTAGGCTAACTTGTTTAACAATAACATCAAAACTACTTAAATTCAGTTAATTTTGGGGAAAAACATTTAATTTTGTACTGGAATTTGAACAGTAGCTCGCTGCTGGGGATTAGGGTATGATGAGTTTCTCTCCTTTCCGTCGATACTCCCTTAGTACTGCAATATACACAGTTGACTGGAAGAAATCCTCAACCTCAGCATACATGAAGCCATAGCAAGAAGCAGTGAAAGCCACAGTAGAGATTGGATGGAGCATATTTTTTTCT